TGCATCTAAAAAAAACTAAGTAATATCTGCAAAAAAAACATAATAGAGAAAATGCTAGCCTAGGACATTTTCAAGAAGGGAGGGGAGATCCAGTGATGCGAGAGGGAAGAACCAACTTTAATTTTATTACATAATGTATATTTGTCTTCATTTCATTTATTATTATTAATTATTTTTTTGTTGGGGGCTGGGGGATATATATGCCTCAATTCTCAAAAAAAACTCAAGATTTGAATGGTATGCTAGAAACTATCTCTGAATGTAGACTCGTGAGTTTGTTAATGAATAAGCTACTGTTATGATATAAAGTGGAAAATGATAAAAGGTGAGTGACGATGGTTGGAATTTTGTGCTTTACCTTGGAATTGTTAGGTAGGATCTCTGGATGTTTGTTAGATTTGCAATGTGATAGGCATGGAAATTCATATATGGATACATGTTAAGGTTTTAGTATTGTAGCTTTTACAATTTGTTTTAAAATAAGAAATTTCTTTTTTCCAGTCTAAAAACTTATTTCTAAACACAAACAACACCCATTGCTAGTCATACTTTAGATTTCAAAAGATCATCATGCAAATCATTTCCTCTTGATGATAAATGACTTTGTATAATCAAGAAGACAGTATATACTCATAGAAGTGATATGTTATGTCATAATTGTGGTGCTTGAGGAAGGAAATCATGCCAGCCATTTGAGATGATAGGATGGATTAACTCCTAACCTGTTCGAAATCCATTAGGAGATAAATCCTCTGCAGACGCAAGAAAATTACCAGCTGCAGCATTTACAAGAATGTCAATCTGCCCATAGTGCTGGAAAGTTGACTCCACTACCCTTCTTGCATCTTCCAGCTTTCGTACATCCCCTTCAAACCCAATGGCCTGCAGATAACAAAGATATTAATCAGGAGAAAAATTCTACAGGCTAAGGAGTGAAAAATCAGAACCATATTCAACTATTACATTCTATAAACTACCAGACAAGCTCCGCTACATACAGTTAGGTCAAAATTAAACTCTATCTACATACAAATGCCAAAATAAAAAATTATAAAAAGGACAGAAAAGGGAGAAGGGAGAGACTTAGTTGTTGGAAAGTACAAGATACATTAGGTTAAGGTTTCATGCTTAAAGCATAACAACCGCCGCATAAATTAAGCAGGACCAAAATGAAAAGTCACCACATGTATTAAGATTGTCCAGCACCTTTATCAACAGGTTTCATTGCAATAATCTATTTAATGAGGTTGGTTTGCCTCAACTCTAATCACGTCTACAGGAACAATTCACCGTACTACTGTTATATTATTTTCAGCTAACTTTCATCCAAAAATTACTTCAGGAAGTAGTCGGAATGAGATTATTATCTAAAAGGAAAGTATTTAACTTTAAAATAAAGAACTAAATCGCAACATCTCTACCATTAGGTCTATTGCAATAACCTGCTGTGATACCAGCATCAAAAGCTACCCTACCATGCATTAGCAAGACAACTTTTTCTACCCATTGTAATCTGCAAATTCCTCCTTCAACGGCTCGTTAGGTAACCAGTTATAAACAATGGTAACAGTACTGAATTTGAGTGTAAATCAATATTCATTACCACGATCACTCAAGATAACCCCCAAACAGTCTATTTTTCTTCCTAATCTCCCTTTCACATCTAAAATCACCTCCCATGTTATAATGGATGGTAATCAATAAAAAGAAAGGCTTAGGGGATGAGTTTGTCCATGAAAATTATAGGTTGTTTTCCATATTACCCTGTATTTAATTCACATTACTGCAATTTTTTACCGGATACCAAACGACTATATTAACAGCCCAAACGCCTGAAAGGTTACACAGTTGAATTCAACAAAGCAAAGCTCCATATTAATGATTTAATGGAGCCACATAGCACCATGAAAGATTTCAACTCCACACAGAAATACACGAAACCATCTATAGGAGAGTTAAGAACAAGTTCCCAAAGCTACATACTACCACAAAATGACCTGCCAATATAAACAGGATAAATAATAATAATAATAATAAAGTCCAAATTAAAAGGTGCATCAATCAATCAAAGCCATAATCCCAAAGTAGGGTCTGGTCAGCTACATGAACTAAAAGTGATTATTCCGTGCATTCATTGACAAAATTCCCAAAAAAAAAAAACATAAATCAATCATTTCAATTATTTGCTTATCAAATCCACCTAAGAAGAAAGCACAAGGCCAGTCAAATTCTAAAAACAAAATAACATAAAAGTTATGAAATCTTGATAAAACAAAAAAACTAATTAAAAAACAAAAAACACCCAAAATTAATCATTTCAGTTATTTGCACCTCAAATCCAATCCGCCCAAGTAGAAAGCACAAGACCAGTCAAATTCTAAAAACAAAATAACATAAAAATTAAGAAATCTTGATAAAACCAAAAACAAATTTAAAACAAAAATAATAATAATAATAATAATAATAATAATAATAATAATAATAATAATAATAATAATAATAATAATAATAATAATAACAATAATAATAATAATAATAATAATAAATAAAATATAAATAAATAAATAAAAACCCATTCGAGATAAGGAAGGAGAGTACAGGAATGTCAAGGGAAGCGAGAGACGAAACCGCAGCATCAAGGGCTTGTCTACGCCTGCCCATGATAGCGATAGAAGCACCATGTTTCCCAAACTGAGTTGCAACCTCAAAGCCAATTCCAGATCCACCTCCTGTTAACAGCGCCACTTTTCCCTTGAGTACATCTTCTTTGAATGGAGATGATTCCATTATTTTGAGTTGATAGGTGGAAATTGAATTGGTTCAGGACACACCAGTTATTATGATGATTTCGATGATAATCGTAGATTTGATGATGACAAATAGTGTCTAACTAGTTATTGGTCCGGACAACGTCAAATTTATAATTAAGTTTGATCAAAATTACTAAAATAAGGGGTACTAAATGCAGAATACTTTTTCTTAAATGCAGAATAAATTAGTTTTTTAAAAAAGCTTTTATTCCAATTCTGCCCTTATTATAATTTAATCCTTTACACTCTTACCTATATAATCATAATTTACAAGCATATTTAAACATATTCAACCTTTCTAATTGTTTATGGCTAGACTCTAGTTTAGCCATTTATCCCTACACCCCCCCTAAACGACGTCGTACCACTACCCCCACACATTCCAGTAACTTCCCTCTAAAACTGCCAGTAACTTCCCACTACCCCACCCATATATATATATATAATTAAAAAAAAAAAAAAAAACTTTTCAAATAATCACATTTTTTTCTCATCCTCTTTCTCCAATTTCTCACTCAACCTCCAATTTCTCTCTCTATTCCATTTTCGTACATGCAATTAGCAAGTAAAATTGTCTAAAATGTCCGACATTAAGAGACGAAATTGCACAATCTCGACAAATTTCAACAACAACAAACCAAAAATCTAATGAGTAAGTATGTTTTACATGTTTAGTGTAAAATTAATTGAAAATTGCGAAACAAAACCCTAATTTTTTGGTATTTTTTCTTTTTGAAGATGCTTCAGGAAAAAAATTGAAAATACTGGAGTTCCAGAACAATCAAAGTAAGTATTACTATTTTTTTTGGAATTATAAGCATAAATTTATTTAAATTTGCTCATATTTAAACAAGTTACTGTTTAATTTCAAAATAAACATAATTTTCCTCTATTTCTGAGACGATAATAAAAATTTAAACAAGTTACTGTTAATGAATGTATGCATAATTTTGATTAAATGATCAACCAAAAAAAATATAAAGTATAGTATTGTGAAATATAATGAACAAATACAAAACAGTATATGTTCAAATTGGATTGTGTGCATATATGTGTGCATATATATGTATACATATGTTCAAATTTGTATATTATGTGTACAGCATGCAATTTATGTTTGTTTCTAAATTGTTCATTTCTAAATTTATGTGTATACATTTACTGACATATTAATTGTTCATTTCTAAATTCCATTTTGTACAAATAGAAAACATATACTTTATTCATCTGTGTAGTAAAATGAACATTTACAAAACACTATATTGTCAAAATTCATATTATGTTATATATATCCATATATGTGTATACAAATGTTCATTGCTACAACTATATTGATCATTTATATGAATTATTTTGTACATTTGTCTAACATAGAAACATCATGTCAATTTTTATGATTTACAATATTAATTTACATTGTAGTGATGTACCATTTAAAGTGATACACTTGATGCAATTTGACAATGGAATGTTCAATCCTTATCCTATAATTCATGAGAGAAAAGAATGTTCTGAAATAGACAACAAATTGGATAGAAATGAAGTTATAAAAAAGTGGGAACCCTATTTATTAGGAGACAACCTACATCCCAAGTAAGTTGATATACTTACAAATATTCATATATGTAATATTTAATGTACAATCATTTACTTCAATGCTCAATCTCATAATTGAAATAATTTGTAAAATTTTAGTGAACCAAAAAAGTTGAAAGTGAAATTTATAATGTCAAGATCAAGGCCAGAGAAAAATCAATCAATAAGGTATAAATACTTAATAAAAATTCAATAATTAATTTTTATACAGTTACATAATCATACTTTTATGTATTAACATTCGAAAAATTTCAGTGAACAAGAGAAGGAAACTTCAAAAATAGATGATGCATCAACAAATCAAGGGTATATTCTACCTCAATGTGTTTAATGTTCATTTATTTCTTAGTTGTCATACATAATCTAATGATTTGCATTCTCAGAAAAAAAAAAAACAACTGAAGAGGAAGCAAAAACTGATCACCTATAACAAGAAAAGGCTGGATCAGAATTAGTGAATACAGGGTATTTGATTCCCATAATGTTCATTTTCATATTACTTAATAAACATTTTTAATTATTTGAAATTAATTGATTTTCAGAAATAAATCACCTAAGAAAGACACGAGAGAGGTTGAACAACTACAACCAAAAAAGGATGCAGCAGGGTATTTTCAGAAATCAACTAATGTTCATTTTCATATTAGTTGATAAACATTTTTAATCATTTTCAATTTTTAATTTTCAGAAATCAATCAACTGAAGATGAGCCATGGATCAGCCTACACAACAAGTGAAGGCTATAGCAGAGGATGAGCCTCCAGCAGAGGAAGAGCCTCCAAAAGAGGATGAGCCTCCAGCAGCAGTTGAAGAAACACATTCATACATAATGCAAAAGTATGAACATATATAACTTATTATATGTTTCTATTCCACATTTACAATATTATTGATCATAAATTATCTGTTGCTAGGAAAAAATTAAAAGTGTCAACTCAAGGAATACGAAAAAACTGACAAAAAACTGAAAAACTGCTCCTGTTAGCAAGGTCATTGCTGCTAAAAAGGCCCCTGCTACAACTGTTGATACTGCTGGAAAAGCCACTGCTGCTGAAATGGCCCCAGCTACAACTACTGAAAAGTCCTCTGCTGCAGAAAAATCTCATGCAGCAAGTTCTGCAAATGCACGACAGAAGGCCCCTGCTGAAATTAAAAAAATCCTATTAGGTAATGTACATAATTGTTAAATTAAATATTAAGTTTTTTTAATCAATAACACTTATACTGAAAATGTTCATTTACCAATTTGTAAATGATCTAAATGTATAGGTGGTGAAGAAATTGAGATTGAGGATGAAACAGAAGAAGAATTGGAAAGACAAGAAGAATTGCAAAGGGATGAGGAGTTGACAAGAATATTGAGAGGTATAAAACCTGTTGAAGAGTTAAATTTGTCTCAAAAGAGTGAAGAATCTTCACAAAATTCAAAGCAACCAAGAAGGAAAATGGTTGCAAGGAAAAATCAAAAGAAAAAAGAATTGGAAGAAAATCAGAAAAAACAGGAATATGAACAATCACCAGCAAGAAGAACAAGAAGTAAATCACGAGGTAAATAAAATGTACAATTTATAATATAACAATGATCATATTAAATAAAATATTACAACTATATTAATATTTATATAACAATGTTTATTTGCAGATGTTAAGTTGCCTGGCATATCAGCTATAGCAACAGCTGCTGCATCAATTGCTGAAAACCTACCAGCAGCAACAACACCCAAAAAACCTGGGCGTCCAAGGGCTGCAACTGCAGTTGCAGAGAAACCTGTTGAGAAAACAGGGCGTACAAGGGCTGCAGTTATTGGGAAAGCAGGCCAAAAAGGTAAAAGAACATATCTAAAACAATAAATGTTCAATTATAATCTTACACTTTTAAAATGTTTATTTTACTTAATGTAATTGATCAAATAATTAGGTGGTCAGAAAAGACCTGCTGCATCAGCCAAAAGTCCTACAAAAAAAAGAAAAGTCATAGATCAAGTGCCTTATGATGAACCATCAGAGGATGAAGAACAAGAAGAAGTCCCTGCAACAAGTTCTGCTCCTGCAAAAAAGAAAATTCTTAAAAAAGTAGAACAAAAAGGTAATGTACATAATAATAAAGTTAAATGTTCAAATACAAACTAGCAATTTACACTTTCATATATATATGTTCATTTTACATATTATAATTGATCAAATGTTTAGGTGGCCAGAAGAGGCCTTCTGCATCAGCTAAAGGCCCTTTGAAGAAAACAAAAATCATTGAAGAACAATCAAAGGAGGAAAATGAAGAAGATGATAAAAGTAATACTGATAGTGGATCAGACAGTGAGGATTCAGCTTTTGATGCTGAAAAAGAAGAAGATGAAGAAAGTGAGGAGGTGGAAGTAGTTCAAGAAAAGAAAACAACATTGAAAAAACCAAAAGCTGAAGAAAAAAGAATGGTTCTGTATGAGAGGGAACCAATAAAAAAGATTGTGAAGAGGAAAACTGAATTTTCAGTGGCTAAAAAAAAAGAAGAGGAGGAAGAAAAGAATGAAGAGGAAGTTGGAAGTTCGACAAGAGGAGGCCATGTCAAATTCATGCATTGGGTTAAGAAAATGAGTGATACACAGAAGAAATTAGTGCATGAAATAGGACTGGGGCCGTTGTTGGATATAGAACTTCCTCAGCTTGACAAACAATTCAGCCATTGGGTTTTAGATAGCTTTGAAGTCAGTAGTTGTAGTTTTGAGCTGCCTAAAGGTGAGAAAATTGAAATTGAGGTGGAGGATGTGAGAATTGTATATGGTTTGCCAATGGGAGACATTCCCATTGTTGAAGCCAAATCAGACAGAGCAAGTGAAGATTTTGGTGTATTTATAAAAAATTGGAGGTCAAAATGGCAAGGCAAAACACCATCTGTAAACCAAATTATTGCTCAATATACAAGTGATAAATTCAAAAACCAAAGGCCAGCAGAAGAAGATTTTCTCACCAACTTTTTGGTAGTTGCTGTGAATTGTTTGATGAAGTGTATTTCAAACAACCAATGCCATTTCAAGTTTCTGTTTTCTATGATGGACAAAGAAAAAATAAAAAACTTGAATTGGTGTCAGTACGTGTTTGACTCTCTCATCAGTTGCCATGTGACATGGAGAAAGAGTGGAGGAAAAGGATTCTACAATGGACCACTGCAATTTCTGATGGTAAGTTTACAACACACAATAGTAAATTATAAAATGTTCATTTTAGTAACAATGAATGTTCATTAACAAAATGTTAAATATCGATTTCGTCTAAAATTTTAATCTTTTATATTAATTGTTCATTTGTATTATATTATATGTTCATTTATAGTACTGGGTTTTGGTGCAGCTGTTCTACTTTGACAGAGTTCAAAGATTGAACAAAAAACAACCAAGAACAATTCCAATAATTTCTTGTTGGAAAAGGGATATGTCACTTGAAAGGATAAAAACAGAAAATGATTTGAACTATGGATATGGAAAAGTCCTTCCAAGAGTAGAAGAAAAGCCTGCAGACAATCCTAAGGTACAAAATGATCATTTATAAATTATGAAATGTTCAATATCAAAACACATAATGTCTTATATGATTTTTCTTATATGTTCTATAAATGACAGGTCTTAATGAATGAATTTGCATCAATGGTACAAGAAGTTGGTGCATCTTTGGCAAGACTTTCTACCAAATTGGTTAAGGCAAAAGAGCTCTTCCCTGGGAATCAGTTGGTCAAGAAGGTAGATGAAGTGTTGGGAAAGATGGCAAGAGAACAATCAATTCTCAGCCAAGATGAAGAAATATTTGGATCAGAGGATTTTTTGAATGCCATAGCTCGAATTGAGAAGGAACTGATGGAGGCAAGTGAAGCAGAAAAAAAGAAAATAGGAAATGAGAAGGAATATGATATAAGGAAGGCATTCAGTTTGGGTTGCAACTTAACTCCCCCAACTCCAACAACTGGTAAATATGCTTAATTAAAAATTGTCATTAATTTGAATATCATTACTTAAAGATTATAATATAATTAAAGAATTAAAATTTAATTTATTTGAACACAGAAGCACAGATTAATGTTGCAGCCACAACTTCAACAACAACTGATGCAAATGTTTCTTCTAAGCCAGAAGAGGGTAAAGCTTTAATATCTATGTACAATTATGAAAAGTATAATGTTCATTTATAAAATAATAAGTTTGTTTAGTCTAAATATTCAAAAAAGTATATATTCAGAATAACAAATGTTCATTTACATTAACAATTTCATATATTTTAAATCAACAGAAAGAGTTGGAGGTTCAAATTCTGAAGAACCACAAGATGGAGGAAATTCAAAAAAAGGTAAAAAGTTCACTTATATAGTATTAAATGAACATTTGTGATTGTAAGATATTCTTCTTTAATGATACTAAGTCTATATATGTGTGAATGAAAATTAATACAAAAAGCATTAAACAAAGGTGAAGGTTCAAAATCTGAAGCATTAGAAGAAAATGTTGAAGGAAATTCAAAGAGTGGTACAATGTTCACATATTACAAATAAATGATCAAATTATTAAGTATAATGTTCATTTCTAGTTATATTAAAATTTTTTCATGTATTTTGTTTGCAGCATCTGATTCAAAAGTTGGTGATCCCAAGACACCAACTGAAAATAGGGAAGCTGCTGGAGATATTTCTACAATCTTGAAATCTCCAGCATGTTCAAGTATGGAAAATATCCTTGATAAATCAAACAAGAAAGGAGGAAGCATGGGGTAAACATGGAAGACCTATCTTGTTAGAAATAATATAATTTTGAATGGACATGTAGAATAAATTTGGTTATAAAGTGTAATTATTTTGGACAGTTTTTGTTTATGAAGTTAGTAATGGATATGTATTATAAAATCAGAAGGGAATATTTTGCTTTAGGGTAGGAATGCACAATTTAAGATATGTAAATTATGTATTTTAATTTAAATGTTTTAGTAATATTTTAAGTGTTTATTGTTCAAAAAAGGAGAATAATGTTATTTTAATATTAATTACTCTTCATTACTAACCATGATTAATATTTCAGAGAAGACAAGAAGAAACAGATATATGCTTCAAATGTGAAGGAAAGGTAAATGATTATTCCACATATACATGTTCTTTTACATTAAACTGAATAATCATTTATACTATATTTATATTCAGTGAAACAAAAAAGGATTAAAAAGAAATTGAAACAGAGAAGATTCAAATTTCCAAAAACACAACAGGACAAAGGTAAATGGTCTTTACATGTGTATAGATTTATAATGTTCATTATCAATATACTAAATGATCATTCATAATTCAATATTTATTCAGTGACAGAGAGAAGACTTTGGAAAGAAAAAAATCAAGAGAAGCTGAGAAGGCAAAAACTGAGATTGCAAAGGAAAAAGAGATAAGGTATTACTATTTGTTCATTATTAAAAAAATTCATATTTGTATTAATATATGGTCACATTAAATAGGCCACAAAGGGAAATCCCAAATGTTCCTCTTGCTTTCCGATCTCCATACATGGTCAAGTACAAGGATTTGTTCAAAGATGAAGACACAATGAACAAACTTGTAACAGACTATGCTTATAGTGGAAAAGATCAAAGGTATACATCACTTACTTCATTAATACTTTAACATTATGTTTGTTGTAAACTCATAAAATTTAAAAAATTGATATTTTGCAGTGAGCTACTATACTATGATGGAGTGAATTCGATCAATAGGGAAGAGATGAAAACTCTTGAAGGGGATACATTAGTAGTTAACAATGTGATCGATTCATGGGCAGTACTTCTGAATCAAAAAAGGTCAAAGAACAAGTTATACTTTTCAACATTTCCACATGTAAGTCTTTATTGAAATTACACATGTATACATTGGTGTACTAAAATGATCAATTCACTTATACTAGATGATCATTATGAATATTAAAATGATCCTTGTGCATTATTTGCAGCAAATTATGTACGCAAATACAGTGTGTCCTGAAGGATCATCAATGGAGCTTAGAATTGCATACTTCAAAGAAAGAATAACAAATGAATTGAGGTTATACAAAATCAAGAGTGCAGTTGGATATCAACAGGTATTAATGAACAATATGGAATTATAATATGTTCATTTACATTAATGTGTATATATAATAATATTATGTACTATGTACAGATTTTTTTTCCAGTGGCCATATATGCACATTTCTATCTTCTATGCATTGATCATATCAATGAGACAATGCATATAATTGACAACAGGAAACTGCCAAAACATCAAACAATTGCAACAAAGTATGAAAACCAACCCCAATTGGTGGTAAGTCTATTGTTTAATAGATATATAAATGATCAATTTGTTTATACAAAATGATCAATATTGAAAATTAAAATGATCAATATTAATATGATCCTTTGAATTTTTTTTCTGTATATGTTGCAGTTAAAAGGATATGCAGAATATTTGAAAGGGTTGGGGTATGAAGATGCAGATTCTATTGAGAAATATAAGGTGGTTTTGCAAAAAATGAAGTGGAGGGAGCAACGAAGATTACACCAACTGTGGAGTTTACATTATGAAACATATGGAAACTTTCACTGCTGATCCAATTGAAGAATGGGTTTGTGACCTAAAACCAAACAATGTAAGTAAATTTCAACAAAACAAAAAAATATACTTCATGATCACTTTATAATACATAATGATCATTTATATCCCATTAATGTTCATGTTTTGTAATAAATTATTTTCTTGGAACAGGTGAACCAAATAAGAAAGCTCAGAGTACAATACACTGCTGAACTAATGCTGAATGAAGGAAACAGGCAGTCACAGAACAATAGAAGAGCAGCAAGAAGATTTGCACAAGCTTAATACAATATGTTCATATATAGACATATATATGATCATACTTGCTTTCAGTATTTTTATGGACATAAGTTTTTGTTGTTGTTCAAGTAAAGACAAAATTTATTATCTTTTTAATATTTACAAATAGTAAAGTGTTACATTATAATTGCCAGTTTTAAATCATCTAATATAATTATTCCAATTTAATAATGGTTCTTACTATTTAAAATAGTATATGATCACTTCCAAAAGCAAAAATAATCATTTATAGAACATTTAAGAATAGTTTGAAAAAAAAAAGATTCAAATTACTTAATAAATCAAAATATAAAAAACTTAAAGCACTTGAATCTCTATAAAGTTGAGACAACTAAAAATGTTGATAGTTAAACACCAAAACATAATTGCATATTGATTTACTCTCTTATTTACCATTTGTAGCCAATCTCTTAACCACACTTGATTAGGGGATTTTTATCCACCAATCACCGTCTGACAAGTGGACCAACCAGGTTCCGCCACGTGTCCTTCACGAAGGCCAACAGGAGCCTGCCACGTGTCAATCACAGATACGTCCTCTACGGACCACTTTAGACACGCCACGTGTCCACCCATGCCAAATGGGAAAACCGGCCATCAAGGCCCAATCCAGTCTAGAGGCCCGATCAGCCCTAGGTTTACCTTAAACCTAGAGAGTTGCACGCTTCTCAAGGCTATAAATACTCAATTAATCCTCATTAATCACACAATCGAATAATCAAGAAATCAAGCAGAGAAGAAAAGAGTTATTAACAACCGGCTAATCTCGCTAACGACGCAGATTACCAACACTAAGCACTCTCACCTAGAGAGATCTCATTACTTTAATTTCTGTATTAACTACTCCTTAATCAGGTACTAACTTGACCGTTGGAGGCGGAGCTCTCAGGAGTCTCCGTTATTTTGCAGGTACAGGCGTCCGGTTCCAGTCTCGGAATTGTAACTCTCCCGCAGGACATCAGAAAACCCCGAAACATTTGGCGCCGTCTGTGGGGAGAGTACTTCAGAGATGGCATCCAAGTCTGTACCGACTCCAGAAGAGAGGCGTCCCCTAGACGACCCTCAAGTTCAGTCGGACCATGATACCGAAAGTGAATTTGAAGTTGAAACTCATACAGCTCCAGACGGGACCCTAAGGGCCCGACGTACCCGTCATACCGAAAGGAGGGAACGGGAGCATCTTCAAACAGGAAGCGAGCCAGCAGGCGCACCGCTTGCTCGGCAACAGCCGACTGATGGGTCTGCTCCCATCACAAGGAACGAACTCATGACCTTCATGAGGGACTTCAAGGGAGAGATTCAAGAGTTGATCAACAAAAAACCGCCTGCTTCAGTCAAAGAGCAGTCGGCCAAGAAACCTTCCACTTCACTGAAAAGGAAGCCAGTTCAAGGGCGAGAGGCGACTCCCCATCCTAAATCCAAGAAGCGGGAGCCACCTGCTCTTGATTTCACAAAACTCCGTTATCCTACGGGAAATAGGAAACCGGTTCGTCATATTCAGGCGGATGGGTCAAAGCAAACGTTCACAGATGCTCGGCACCTGCTAGAGCAGAAGAAGAGTGATCGATTATCAGAGTCGGCTTCTACTTCAAATTTTCAGGACAGTTTGCGAAATGCCTCGATGAGGCATACTCAGTCGTACCATGAGAGTCAGTCAGGCGGCACCTCCCGTCAGTCCGGCTTTCATAGTGCCCAGGCGGTACCAAACTTACCATTTGTGCCGCAACAACAGTATTTTATGCAGCCACCTCCATTTGGTGGACCTGCAGCAAAAAACGTCCAACCTATGGACTGGCAGCTACGGCTGCTTAGACTGGGTGAACAGCCGTCGGCCTTCTCCAAGGAAATTACTGAAGCCGCTCAGCCGGCCAAAGTAAAAAATTTTCTAGTAGGCGCCTATGACGGCACTACAAACCCAGAAGACCATCTGATGGCATTCACCAACCTGATGTACCTTCAAGGGTTGGATGATCCCACTTGGTGCAAGTGTTTCCCAGCGACTCTCAAGGGAATTGCACAGCAATGGTTCGGCAACCTGCCGACTGGTTGTGTAAACAACTTCAGGACGCTTGCTTACTTATTTGCCTCCAACTTCGCTATGAACATCCCTGCGAAGAAAACGACCCTTGATTTGGGAACAATTCAGCAGGGCGAGAAGGAGGGGCTTCGTTCTTACATCAGGCGGTTCAACCTGATGAGGATACAGATTCAAGGGTTACCGGATGAGGTAGCTTATACTGACTTTTTTAGAGGTCTCAAAGACGGGTCTACCTTTAAATTTGATTTAGTTCGAAAAAGGGTGGCGACTCTTCAAGAGGCCTTGATTGAAGCAGAAGCCTATATACAGGCGACTGATCTGTGTACGATAAAACAGTCGGACGGGAAGAGGTTCGACAAAAGAGAGGGACAGCAGAAACAGTCGTCCAACAAAGATGAGAAAAGAAAAGAGGTCTGGGCGGCTGATTCCTCTAAACAGCCGGCCCAGAAAAAGAAAAAAGAATTCAAACCATACTCCCCAAAGTATGTGTTTAACAAGGATAACCAGTTTATCCTAAAAGAAATAAAGGGACGGCTCTCAATTGAGAAGCCGCTTCCCATGAAGAGTTCTGCGAGCAACCGGAACCAAGACAAAATCTGTGCTTATCATGATGACGTTGGTCATCACACCAATGACTGCATCAGTCTCATGCGGTACCTAGACCGCTTGGCTGATCAAGGTGATCTTGACACTTATGTCAAGAAATCTACGGGGAACACTTCCTCAAAAAAGCAGTCGGCCAAAAAGAATCAACAGGCCGACAGTTCCGATACAGATGATGCAGTCGTCTACACCATTGCAGGCGGCTTCTCAGGAGGCGGCCCCACTATTAGGGGCAACAAAGATAATATAAGGCGGTTAGATGTAAATTCCGTTCACCAAGAACAGCCGACCAAATATACATTTCCTGAGATTGTCATCACTGAAGAGGATCTAGGAGGAATAAGGGGGCCGCATGACGACCCTCTCGTTATTGAATGTAAAGTGGCCAACCAGAGAGTTGGCCAAATCCTCATAGATACCGGGAGCTCCTCAGATCTCATCAGCAGCAAATGTCTGTCAAAACTGAAATATCAGACGGACTGCATACATCCGGCCTCCCACCCTTTGATAGGGTTTGGAGGAGGAGTCGTCCACCCACTGGGACGAGTAGATCTACCCATTCGCCTGGGCGAAAAAGGGGAAGGACGACACATGGTAGTCCGGTTCCTAGTAGTAGAGGAACTCTCGGCCTACAACATGATTCTGGGTCGACCAACCCTGAATAATTCCAAGGCTGTTATAATCCCGTCACTTATGCTGCTTAAGTTTGAAAGGGATAATGGAACAGTCGGCTCCCTAAGGGGAGACCAGAGGATGGCCCGAGAGTGCTATCTCTCGGATGTCAAGCCCACTGTTATGGCCACTGGGTCAAGTGGAGAAAAAACAGACCTTGACAACGTCAAGGAGAGTGCGCCTGTTCAAGAAACAGGCGACAAAAAGAGAAAGGCGCCCCAGACAGAGTCCGCAAGAAAAGCAAGAAAATAGCAATCATTGGCAGAGGACCGGCCGGATGAGTTCCGCCCTCAACCGGCTGGTGAGCATGCGGACTTGATATTAGACGACTCCCGTCCTGACCGAACAGTCAAAGTTGGGACGACTGCTCTGAGAAACCTTGGTGATGACTTTCACAACCTGTTGAAAGAATACAAGGACATCTTTGCATTTGAAGTCCATGAAATGCCAGGCATTAGTCCTGATCTGGCAGTACATAAACTCGTTGTGGATCCGAAAAAGAAGCCGGTACGGCAAAAGAAGCGGAACCATGGTGAAGAAAGAGGTCAGGCGGCAGCCGCCGAAGTCAAAAAATTACTTGATGCAGGGTTCATTCGGCAATGTTACTTCCCAGATTGGGTTGCAAATGTGGTGCTGGTTAAAAAGCCGAATGGCACCTGGCGAATGTGTGTAGACTACACAGACTTAAACAAGGCGTGCCCCAAAGACAGTTACCCTCTGCCTAAAATTGATAATCTGGTCG